TGGGCGCGCACCACGTGCTTCGCAGCCAATCGCTGCGGCCGCTTGATTCAAACCTAAATCCTCAAAGGAGCGGTCACGCAGCCTCCTCTCCTCAGTTACCTTCTTAGGCTCGGCCCTTCCTGTTTTTTATCACTCGGTGGCGTTAGTGCGGAATTCAGTAAAGCACACACGTTGAAAGCCCCGCGTGCCGGGAGAAAGGAAGGCTATCCGAAAAATAATCTCGCGTGGCGATCACTATTTACGAATCCCAATTTTGATCTTTGCACTAAGGCTTGTCTTTCCACTGGGAGCTAAAATGCCTGTTTATTTTTTATTCAGTATTTGGAATAAAGTCTTTGAATGAGCTGTACAGATTACCGATCCAGCCCCTGGTTTTACAAGTAAGGAAACTGAGGCCCATGGCGATGTGCATTGCCTGGTTCGAGGTCACTCAGCTGTGGCCCCGCTGTGCAGCTCGAGAGTGAGGGCTCCGCGACGGAGTTCACTCCGTCCCCCCGACCCCTGTGCTTCGCCCCTGACTTTCTTCACAATAGTGGCGCAGAAATGTTTCAAACTGGAGGGCCACCTGGCGCTTCCGGAGTCCAGAGACTCCTGAGACCGAGATCGTCGGTTCTTTAATCCCACTTTCCTTTACCCGCGTTCCCTCCTGGTATTCGCGCTGAGAAATTTTGCTCCTTGCAAACAAAGAAAGACAGTGCCCTCTGAAGTCCTTTGTTAGCATTAACTCGTCAGCTTCACCAGGAGCCTTTAAAAATCTGTTTCATATTTTAATTTTTTATGCAGTCTCGGCTGGAGACCGTTTCACAAAGCCAGAGACCCCCGATCAATTCACGGTAAGAACCACGTTGAGGAGAGGCTGGGGGCGGCAAGGTTAGGAGAGATGCGGCGAGCAGAGCCCAGGCCCTGAAGGAGACGTGGATAAAATCAGCCAAGTCCAAACGGATGGAAACACTGTAGACCCCGGAGAGAGGTGCTGAAAAGGTGGGAGGTGGAAATGTGTGGCTGTTGCACGTATGTATGTCTTTTAAAAACAAGTTTCTGTAGCCTGTAGCAAGGTGTGGGGAAGCCGATCAGGCAGCCTCTAGCACACCTTCTAGATAAATCCTAGACGTGCTTTGTCTGCCTCGGTTGTGGGTCAAAAGCAAGCACGTTGGTTTCGAAGACCAAATGTTAATGTCTTCCATTGTGGGAAATGTTCTGTTTAAGTTTGGAGATTAACGCTTTTTCTCATTATGGAGAAGTATTTCCTTCTTCAGTCACTTACCAAACCTACCTAATACACTGTCTAGATGGCCCTGCCTAGAAGTGGAATAAGTACATAGCTCAGTTGGTTGGTTGGGGATTTTGCCACCAGAAGCCCCCGAGCTGGAGACAAATCTGTTTCTGTTTCGTCTTTACCACCTGGAAACTGCAGTGTTCTTAACCAAGGAGACAGAAAGGTCACTTCTCTTTGCAAAGAGCTTTGCTGAGCAGGCAGGGCTGAGATAGGAATGAAATCCTCTGCCCATTGTGTCATCATCCACTGATGCCATTTTCCTGCGTTTTTTATACCTAATGTTGCCACTTTCTATATCTCAAAAAATGAAAAAAAAAGTTGTAGACTAAAAAATCTTGAAATGTATTCAGCGACCATATATATTTGCTTCATCTGCCTCAGGGAGATAAGCAACACAAGGGAAAAGAAATTAGTTATGTAGACTATAAAAACTGGAAAACATTTTCCTGCTGAAAGAGACAGGAATTAAACTTGCATTTTGGGAAAACATGTGTGCAGCCGATGACCTACAAACTGTACACTGGTTTACTTGAGCCAATGCGTGAAAAGTTTTTTAGCCATTGGCAGTTGCTAATGTTAATCTCACAGCAGAAGATGATTTGCAAAGTTAGCATATTTATAATCATAGCAACTCAAACTGTGTAATTCCTACAGCATCTCTCAGCCAGTCCTGAAGGTAATTCTTATCACCCCACGCACAATGAAGAAAAGGTGAGTAAGTCTCATATCTACCTGTACAGGGAGAAAATTCTAAACAGGGCTGTTGATCAAACTGGATGATAGCAGATATGTGAGTCACAAACAACTCCACAAGGAAATGCCACCCATATCAATATTGTGCAACAGCCAGCACCTCACTCAAGGTATTAGGCCAATACCATAGGCTTCTTGGAGCTGGTCTTTGCCTCTGCTTTGTGACACCAAACCAAGGTCTCATTTTTTTAATGCTATTAAGAAGCTGTGCCCAAGGCTTTGGCCTTGTTATCTCCCATAACAACGTTACTTTGTTAGGCTGCGAAATAAGCAGCATGAGGTTAAATGTATTAGCTGCCTTCAAACCTAATTTATCTTCATTCCTTCTTAATTTACACTTGGGCTGAATTAATGAGAATGATTTAATTAGCATCATGGTACCAGGGACAAGACAGCTCAGGGGATTAAACCAAACAGTGGGCTAAGCAGCTGCCATCCTGCCTCCTGTGGTCACCCGAAGCCCCACTCAAATTTCAGATTTGTTCCCTGCTGGTATTCCAACAGCACCCCCTTTGTACTTTGATCCACTTGGTGAATCTGTGTGAGGAAGGTGGCACAGCTTTCCATCCTTGTGTTGTTTGCTAGGTGGCCGTCAAGGCCATGCCCTGTGGAGTCACTGTGGCAGAAGGGCCAGTGGCCCACCAAGGATTTGTATTGCTCCTTCCATAGCGTCAAGTTTGTGCTGGGAAGTAGATGCCTGGACGACTTCCAGCTGCACATATATTGGGATCAACACGTATGGAAGGGAAGGGAAGGAAGCAGGATGCACAGAGGAAAAGTTGAGCAGGGATGCAGTCCCAGCCAAGGCCTCGGCCGACCCCATGGGGACTGTGGAGCTGAAGTGACCCTGAAGAGTTGTCCTCAGTTAAGATGAGAAGGCCAAGCTTTTGTACAGCTACATCAACCAGGTACTGAATGCAGGCTGCCCAGGGAAGCGGCCACAGCTTTGGGCAAAACGGCACTCTTTTGCAGAGGGAGTTCCGAAGAGGACTGACAACTGAGTGCCATCTGCCACCAGTACATCCAGCAACTGGGGGAATCAGTCCTTCATTCCTGAAGGAGGATCTGAGGGGCTCAGCGCAGTGCCCACCTCAACCCTTCATCCTAATACACATGCACACACCTAGGGAAATGAGACCTCCACTTCTATCAGCAATGCTCTTATTTTCAAAAAGGGGGAGAAAAGAAAAATCTGGCCATTTATGAAAGAGTCAGTGATAAGGAAAAAGACAGGTAATCAATACAAGAAGTCATCAGCATTTTATATGTCATTTTATCATTTTTCTCTCTGGGGAAAAACAAGGACTTCTAAATTTTGTTTTGCTCTCTTCTGCATTTATGCTTTATTTTAATTGTTGTGTTTGTGTTAGGTATCTGTTATGATAAACCTTGAGAGTATTCTTCAGATTGCATCCAAATTGGTTTGCTCATATTTTAAAATTTCAGTTGCTTCCTACATTCATTTTATGTGCTGCCTGTGTGTATTTTGTGAATTAAATTGGATTATAGTCTGATTTTTAACTTCAAATTCCAGTTGTCCATTGCTGCTACATATGAATACAATTGACTTTTGTATTATGATTTTTAATGGAATGTTTTGTGTGAAAGTCTATCTTTGTCCTTAACGTGCTAAACTCTGCTGTTCATATTGAACTCCTCTATTAAGAGTTGTTCTAACTGGGAAATTCATTCTTCCTTTGAGACTCCCTCATCTTATACAGCTTCAAGTGACATTTCAAGGGATAGACAGTTTATTGGCTGCTTACAGGATTGCAGAGGGACATATCTGAGTCACCTTTTCCCTGGTTATAACTCTATAAAGTTTGGTCATTAGGAAATCAAGTGGTCTAGGCTGCTTATGTTATTTCTGCTCCAGGACCCTTCAAGCCTTCACAGCCTGTTGTAGGTTATAGGTTTTAGAGTCAGGATTTTAAAGCAGCATTTATTATTTTCTCTGATTACAAAACAATGCATAGTACAAATTTAGAAAATAGAGAAAAGCAAAAGAAATACTGTAAACCTACCATTTGGAGATAATGATACTGAGCATTTAAGCTCCAGTCTATGTCCACATAGTATTTTATTTTTAGTGGGTAAGTGGGTAAGGGCAGAGACTCCAGAACCAAGCTTGAATTTCTGCTTCTGCATTTACTAGCTGGGTGTCTGGGAGACAAGTATTATAATATCTTGGTGCCTTAGATTCCTAATCTGCAATATGGGAAAATAACAGTACCTGGCTAGAGGGCTGTTTGGGGGATTAAATAAACTAGTGAAGGTAAAATTCATAGAACAGTGCCTGGCTTGTGGTGAGTGCTATATAATGCTTGCTTTTATAATGATTCCTTAGTGAGCTGTTTAAGATATTTCCAAGTAACTCTCCTATGTAACCCATAGTATTTCCAAGTAACTCTCCTAAGTAAAAGTGATTTGAATCCTTATCAAAGTTCCTATTTCCACACGTGCTCAGTAGCACTGGGTTATGGGATACTTTCATGTCTTGAATGAGTTCACGTATCTCTTGGAGTGTTTATTTGAGGCTTTGCTCTTTTTGCTCACCCCGGAAGCTGACAGCTTGTACAATAAAAGCTGAAATTCATGGGGTCCGCCTTTGCCTCTTTCCATCTCTTATTGATATTGTCTTCATGTTTTGTACTGGGACCATTCATCTTAAGTTGGTGATGGAGAAACGATTCTTCACTCTCCATTACCTTCAAAAACTAAGCTGCTACAAAGGGAAAAGTATTTAAGAAATCACACATTTAAAAAAGAAATAACTTGCTGTATTTAGAAGAAAGCAGCTCTGCCAAAACACAGCATAAATGGAATATAGGCGCCTATTTTTTTCTGCCCTGAAGATCTTGTAGGGTATGCTTAGGAAAGCTCACTCCCATCTATCAGAATCACAGCAGGCCTTTGTGAGGCGTGGCCCTGCACAACCCAGGGAATCTCAAACCATTTTCCTCCTATTTTCCATAATCTTTTGAGTGCCCCAAGGCTTCTGGATCTAAACTCTTAATTTGTTCTAAGTAATTACATTCAAGAATTGACCGTTGTTCGAAGCAATGAAAATGAAGGTTTTGTTTGGCCTATATGCTCTGCTTCCAGGGCAAGATGCCAAGTCTCTGAGCATGTCTGGGCATGAAGAAGGGACCAGAAGAAGGGACCTTTGTGGTCCAGGAGCTTGCACCTTTGAATGGATATTAAACGGATTTTATGGCATGCTGTGAGCACAGACCTGACTCACTGCATACAGCTCAGCTGGACAGGAATCTAAATCAGGAAGCTGCAAGTTAGCATTACCAGAATGAAGAAGGAGAGAGAGAGGGAGATGCTGGTGAGTGTCTTGTCTTAAAGGAAGTTCTCATGAGCATTTCTCCTCCTCATTTTCAAAATACAACATGAGCGAGGATATAAACTCATATACACAAGCACTCACAAATTTCCTTTAGCCTCGTGTGTAAGTTTAGAAAACATTAGCTATAAAATTCCAAATAAAGTTGGAAGACTTGCTTTTTCTTTCTTGAGGATATTTGGAAATATTGAAATATCAGGAGGAAATAGTAACCTTTTTAAAAAATCATGTATTTTCACATAGTTCTAAGTCACTTTTTATCCCTACAATTATTTAAAACATTGTAGTTTCATTCGTTCATCCATCCAACCACTCAATCATGCATCCAACAAATGTCTATTTACAGACACGGTATTAATACTTGGGTATTCCCCAGTTACACTAGGTTTTTTCCAGCCTTCCACTGTGATTTTACAGTGTATGTACGGGCTTGGCTTGCCAACAGCATACTTGTATTTGCCTTTTGAATGTGTCTCCTTCCAACTCTAAAACCATGGAAAGAAGTCATATATAGGGAAACTTGAGAGTAATGAGGGGAAAAAATAACATAAACATAGGCAAAGAAGGAGCTCAATTCCTGTCACCCTTATTAGAATGTTAGTGTAGAAGAAAACCATGAGGGGGAAAAAAAAGTAAAAAAAAAAAAAAAAGAAGAAGAAGAGCACAGACTGCCCAGGTTGTGAAATGGTCTTCTTCAACTGCCATTTTCCACCCAAAGATTATAAAGAAGCCCATTATTGCTTCAGTAAAAACTGGCCTGTTAAAAATGGTGAAGTGGCTCATAATCACGTTGGCCAAGAAAGGAAAAGGCAAACCTCACAGGCTGAAGTAGGGGGTGAGAGTCAACACTGCGGTCTCTTTGTTCTTAACAAAGACTCCTGTTTTCAAGACGTTGAGTTTTACCACAGTGGGAGGAATCATCCCAGCGTTTCCAAAACTGCATCAATTTCTTCTACGCATTTTCTGGGACACTTGTGATGCCAAACATGAGCAGGAATACCAAGGTCCATTCTAATTTTTCAGACAGTGGTTTTTCAGACAGAACCTTGATGGGTTTCATCAGAATGCATTTTCTCTGTCATGCTTGTCTGTTTTTAAAATTCCATACTTAATCTTCTATGGCTTAATAAAATATAAACAATTTGTCACGTCCCAATTTTTTTTTGCATATGTCCTACGACAGACAAAAGTTTCTTTCTTTTTTTTTTTCTGCTAGTCACCTAAGAAATGAAACTGCCACCGCTAACAAAACCAGGAATGGGACACTAGCACAGGACACAGAAGCGGGGCTCCAAAGACCACAGCGCATAGTTTGGGTAAAACAACAGTGCCCTCTTCTGGCGACAATGAAGAACGAATTACTGTTCAGAAGGGTCTGACAACATTCACAACCAACTTACTGAAAAAGAAAAAAGTAAGCATTGTGAACCCGTGTGTATCCTTTTGAGCAGCTACTCTTGCCTTCGTAGCCCTAAAGTGTTCTGCATTCAAATGAGCAATGCCAAATGTAATCTGGGGTTTGGCCAGTCTGCAAAGATGTGATGCCACTCCTGTGCTCTACAGGCTGGCAAGCAGAGGGCCCAACTGGGTCGCCTATTTCCTCAGCACAGACTGAGCAATTCCCAACCAGCCACAATGCTGATAGTAGGTGTCCTGAGGGCCGCTGGATAGGGACACATTTGTCCACTGGGATGGTCTTGGAGATAATTATAATGACTAGAATCCCTAACATTTCCATAGTCTTACCATGTGCTAAGCACTTTATATGCCTGTTTCATTTAATCTCCACAGCAACCCTAAAAGACTAAGGTCTCATTGGGTGAAACCAGAACATGTGTTTTTTCATAACCACTTACCTACACTGCCTCCTCTCTTTTCCTGACTAGCTATAAGGCCCCTGATTTTCTGTCCTCTGAAACACCAGCTTTGGACACCTGGCACATACACAGTGGATTCACAAGAAGAAGAGAGGAAATAAATTGCTTGGTTTACTTTGCTTCGTGTTGACAGATGTGATAAAGGTGTGACAAATGGGAAGCTGGAATCAATTGACTAAAATTATGTAGTTTTTTTTTAATCCATTTTTACTCTTTATCCATAATTGATTAAACATCATACCAGATCATTCTTTCATTCTGGCACAGTGTACCCACTCAAGATTGGCACATCAATTCGCAAGCAAAGGAATGTCCTAATCAAATTGCTCTTTTAAATTTAGTTCAGACACAGTTTCTTAACTGTGGAATGAAGCACTGTTTCCCCAGCTAGGATCAAAACCCCAAATATTGAGAGAAACATCTCTTCCCACTTCAATGTCTGCAATCCAAATGTCCGGGGGAGCTCTGTGTGTCCTCCTGGAAGGACCTGGAGAGAAAATGCAGCAGAAAACAAAGGAAGCATTTAACTTCTTGGCTGTATCCAGCAACTGTGACATTGTGTTTAAAAACCAAAGATACATAGATTATGCTAAAGTTTGAAATCTTTATACTGGACAATGGTTTACAGATGCAAAGGACGTTGTCAGTGAGTAGGCACAGAGCCTTCTTGAGCATGTTACGGTGCTTTTTACTCCTTGAAAAAGCCAAACACAGTAAAACCTCAACTGTCTAGAAGCCAACTCACTAAAATGATTAATAAACATTTTTCCTATACTGGACTTTTAGAGGAAAGATGTTAAACACAAGAAAATATATCCCTGTTGGAGCTTTCTTTTAAAAGCAAATGATGTCTACCTAAGCAATGAATAAATAAGTAATATCTCCAATGGATGAATAAAAATTAACAGTATAGGGCCGGCCCGGTGGCACACTCTGTAGAGTGCGGCACTTGGGAGCGCGGTGGTGCTCCCACCGAGGGTTCAGATCCCATATAGAGGCCGGTCCGCTCACTGGTTGAGTGCGGTGCGGGCGCGACACCGAGGGTTGCGATCCCGTTACCGGTCACGAAAAAAGACAAAAAAAAGGAAAAAAAAAATTAACAGTATAAGGGCAATATTGATGAGCAGAACAGAAAACAGAAACTGTTCCATATGCTTCCCTCTGCAGAGTGGGCTGGAGATGGGGAGGGTCAGGGACTGCCTCTTTTTCCCTTGTCCTTCTGTACTCTGTGCATCCATGTGTATTTACTACTTTGATTAAAGATAAGAATTTTTAAAAGTCAACTACAAAAAATAAATATGTTATTTTTAATAGAATAAAGAGTCAGCATAGAAATGGCTTTATCTCCTAAAGTTTGGACCATATGGAATAATTTTTATGAAGCAATGCAAGTTTCTCAGGCATTGAATGATATGACCATTCATGGAGAACTTTAGTTTTTGAGTGCTTTTATGTTTTGTAATGCTCAAATATCCCTGGCAAGTTAGATACATGTTATAATTATCAGGCCCTATTTTACTGATGAGAAACTGAGTGAGAGAATAACTGCCTTGCCCAGGCTCACATATTTGCTGTGTGGTGGTACTGCAGCCTGAACACAGCTTCTCTTGGTCTCCATTAAACTACCTCTGTCTTCTCACTGTTTGCCCAGCCCTTAGTGCAGCACTTAGTAGTAACAATAAATATTTATAGAATGAATGAATGATTAACAAATGAATGAGTGACTCTTCCTATTACTCACAAAGAAATATCAGAATTATGCTCATTGCTCTACACTTCTGAGGCAAGAAAGTCTAATAAAACATTTTAAATAGATTTTAAACTTGGACTAAACCCATATGATTTGTCTTATGTTATCTGGAAAAATCCCATTTCCAGAATATTTTGTTTAATCAGAGTTTCCTTGGATGGCTTAAGAAATAGGACCATATTCAGAAACATCACTTAAAAGAAAGTTCCCCCTTGGGCCGGCCCGGTGGCGCACTGCTACAGTGCGCCGCTTGGGAGTG